ATAAGATTACTAGAATTGTTATTATTATTGGTGAAATAAATCATATATTACCAAATCATATATTACCATATATATATTATATATATATATATATTACTCTAAAACCCAAGAAGTCTCGCCAGTCGTCGCCTGGTGTTGATACATGTTCTACGCCAGACTAAACTCATTCAATGCCAAACTGAACACATTCCAAGTCAAACTAAACACTTTGCATACCAAACTAAAAACGTTTCATGCTGGAGTAAACACGTGCCATACCAAACTAAACGTTTCATGCCAAACTATACAGATTATATTCCATAGCAAATAGTTCCATGAAAAACTATTAAAAAAAAGCATGTCAAACTGGACACATTAATGCCAAACTAAACACGTTCTATACCAAACTATAAACGTTCTATGTCAAATTTAACACATTCCATGCTAAACTATACACGTTATATGTTAAACTAAACACGTTCCATACCTAACTAAACAGGTTCAAGCGAAACTAAACATGTTTTATTCCAAACTATACACGTTCCATGCTAAACTATACACGTTCTATGTTAAACTAAACACGTTCTATACCGAACTAAACGGGTTCATGCGAAACTAAACACGTTTTATACCGAACTGAACAAGTTCCATGCCAAACTAAACACGTTCTATGTCAAACTACCAAGTTCCAAAAGAATTCCAGCACGTTCAATGGCAGACTTAAATACGTTCTATGCCAAACTAAACACGTTTCAAGAAAAACTAAACACGTTCAATACCAAACTAAACACATCTCATGCCAAAATTAACATGTTCCATGCCAAACTGAACACGTTGCGCGCCAAACTAAACACGTTCGATGTCAGACTAAACACATTTCATACCAAACTAAACACGTTCCTCCACTAACTGTGTTCTAGTAACGTTCAAATCGAAAACTCTTGTCCGGTGGTTCCAATTTGAGGCGGTTACTGTCGTTTGAGAGGTGTGGCCGAGACTATTGAATACAATACAGCTGACAATAAATCTCGAAAATTAATATAACTAGAGGCATTTGATTCATTTGTGTTATATTTTATTTATCAAGTGTATAAATATATCACTGCAAAAATGCAGGAGGTAGTAAACAAAAAAACACCATAATGACACAAAAGCAGCCTGAACGATGTCACGTCTACCCTGTATCGCTACTCGAGAAATATCAATGTTATTGTTGGTGCAGTTGAAATGCGAATGCGAGACATTTGCAATATTTTCGACAGATGTCATGTTTTCAGACACGGAGTCGTTTGAACTATAAATAGACATTACGCAATGCAATGAATATATATGAGAACATCGTCCATTAAGTGCCATCATGAGCCTGACATCCGTTTTCATCAAATCATGGCGTCATTCATGCATACTTCCATCATTTGTGTCATTATATGTGACGTCATCGATTACGTAACGTAACATGTACAGTGCGTATCGTTACACTGTATACCTAGTAAACTATTCGAAATGCAGAATAATTCGCTGTCACATGGATACTGCAACGGACCACATCACTGCACAGCGTTGGGAACGTTTTCTTGAAATTCGCCAAGGTAGAATTACATGAATACGTCCCCGAATAATCGCCCGCAAAATGCATCCAATCATGAGAGTAGCCGCACTATATCCGCTGAACGGTATTAGAGAGGAATGGTCATGGTCATTGTCTTTGAATGCTCACGGCAATGTCCCTAAACATAATGATGAAAAAGACATGATTGATGTTGTATTTTGACAAATTTTTACTATTTCCAGATACTAGTAACATAAGGTTGTAAAGATTCTGAATAAAAACGAGAACAAATACAAAAGCACAGGCGCGAATGGACGCTGTTGTATAGCTAAGTTCGAAAAAGTCACGTGACTTTGTTTAATTTGTCCGCTTCGTTATCGCGTCCACTGATCCATACACCATTGTTGAAATTCACGATTGCCTACTTGTTAGCCCGTTGCTGTGTAGGTCGCGCTAGCTCAAATAGTAATACACCGCGTCTGACGGTAATTCAGGAACCAGGAATTGGTCGCGGTAGCAGTGGGCGCGTTTGCGGAGGAAAAATTGATTTGCAAAAACAAGTGTCGTTGCTCTCGCCATCAACGAGACTTTGGTAGCCGTTTACATTTAAGGTATGTTACGTTATTCTTGAATACAAGTTGTATTCCCTCCAAAAAATTATATTAAATAGTTTGATTGCGGAGCAGGAACTGCAGTGGCAGCTCTATTTTGCGGTCATATGATTATTTCTCCGGGATAATATATAGAATTATATGCAAATACCATTCGTTGTCTCCTGTTTCGTCTTATCGGAACAGCACACTAATTGTACAGATACAGAGAAACGCCACAAAATTCATCTTTAAAGCTGCAACGGAATCTGTTTACGACAAAAAACAAATAAAATAATAAGCACACCAGCCAATGAAAGGTTAATCGAGCTTTGACGCTTTGAGGTGGTTACCCGTTGATTCCGTAACACGTTTCTTTTTCATAATGCATTACGGACGTCCCACAATAAACAAATACTAAATACAGTTACAATTCATACTTCTTGTCATTTGTGTAGATGAAAAAAAATATGACAGAGTTCTATGAAATACGAAAGCAATGTGGCTGTTAGATAAGCGCTTTTTCATCAACTATGTGTCAATATTCATTGGAAAAATGTAATAGATTTCTTGTCGTACTTTCAGCTTCTGTTGGCATCTCTTCGCCGTCATCCGCTTCTCGCAATTCCCGCTCATTCAAAAACTCTGTTAAGAGGAAAAGAGAACATAATGTGAGAGTATAAACATGTGATGGAAAATAAATTATGGTTTAATTTTATTGCTGTAAACTTTTGTATTTGAACTGTTCCCGGAATGACATCCCACGTGGTAAGCTTTTTTCCGCCATTTTGTTTTTCAGTAAGGATTCCCGATGACCATTAGCATACTCAAGAGCAGTTATTTATTATTTGTCGACTTACTATGATGTAATAAGAACATTCTAGCACGCAGTTGATTCTCCGAACTCACATTCCGTACAGTGCAAGTTAGGAGTCAACCCACAGGGGGTTGGACAATCTTATGTGTTTTAATAAATTATTAAATAATAAAATGTTATATAACCTTTCTTTTACCCCTCCCCTTCCTGGTATTGATTTCAAGTAATCACTGATCTTTGTTACGCGCTAATGTTACATGCAAATGCACGCGATGTAGATACACCCTATTGTAGTAAAATATTCCAAGGGTTGAAACGCGCCAGAACTGTGGCATGAGTACAACCGTAAAGCGGGTGGGCATTTATACAGACATCGGCATACGGCTCAGTGGCGGATCCAGCATAATGTATTGGGGGGGGGGGGGTCCAAGCTACGCTTAAGATATACGGACCGTAAATCGCAGAGAAGCTATGCGTAATCCAGATGATACGAATCGTCATGCGTTTGGGGGCCATCCCCCCCCCTGCCCCCTCCCCCTCTGGATCCGCCACCGATACGGCTTGACCTACAATCCTCGTAACCTACAATCATAATGATTCTTTTGTGGACATCTAGTAAGTTTATACTTAATAGTTTGTCTTCTGTCATGTAATCAAATTGTGTTCTATTATGCTGGATAACCGGCGGGGTTACTGAAACTTTCCCTAAGAAATACAGGACTGCAGTGGGAATCACTGTCACAGAAATCAATTTAGTGAAAAATGAGTTGCTCTGGTTAAATATGGTATTGAAATATGTTCATTTCATTAATGTGCAACTCCCATAAGCCAAGACTAAAATTGTACAGTCGCGTACCTGACTAGACGTAATTGACGATTTCCCGTTTAATATACTGCGAGTTTTTCAGGCGATAGTTAATTGATTGAGCAAGCTCACTAAACCGTGCAATCTGCCTTGTTACACGAATGAGTCTTGACTATTGACTAGCACACGAACAAAAAAACAGCAACAGACGAAAAGTTTATCTATTTTAATCTCCAAGAACGCCAGCATAATTTCGTGTCGCCGCCTCTGTTTTTCTCAATCCTGCAGGGGGTTCCTGCAAGTTAGGTGTGGGCAACCGCCTTGCACGGGGTTAACTTTTACTGTCTCTTTACAAACAAATGATGAAATCCAGACCCTCTGAAATGATATTTCCTGCATTTTGTGAGCCCTATTTTGCTGACATACAAGGGTTCCAAAGGAGTTTTTGGGAGGGCGACGCTCCCTCAACATTTTTTTCGAAGGGGCGATCGCCAAACCCCTCGCACCCTCCTGTGCCGCCGCCACTGATTGGCCAGTAACACTGACACACAAACCGCATATTTTACCGTGTTACTTACCATCTGGGTTAGTACATTTCACGTATGTAACCAACAGCACGAGTGCCACACAAACAATTACGGCGAATCTGGATGAAGAAAGAGAAATACGTAAAGTCTCAATGCAAAAAAAAAAAAAAAAAAAAAACTCCCGCTGGATGGTGTGTTTATGTCCAGTTGTTTTGTACATTGTTTCAACACATTGCGAATGTAACGTTTTCATGCCTGATTTTAAAGCAACTCGCAAATATTGCTTAGAAACATGTATGCCCGTCGTGAAAAATGATAATACAGAGATTAGGTGTTACCAACTAATGTTGTTACATGGTTAGAATCGTACATGCGAGTATATAGAGATTTGTGCTGAGCTACTGTGTCACCAAGTTAGATTCACACACGTACACGTCATGCAGTCACATAGATCAAATAAGTAGACAGGTATCTGTTATCAACTAACTCAGGTATCTAGTTTGGCTCCGAGACATAAGTATGTGTAGTGATTAAATAGTCACTGCGACTTATCACGTGTATAATTACGTAACACGCGAGAGAGAGAAAAGCAGCAAGCGTATATTTATGATAAAGAGGGAAACTGTCGTACCTCATGGTGGAGTTGTTGTGTCGGTTCGTCAGATTGTAGTAGACTCTCTCAGCGTGCCTCAGTTATGATGTTTTAAAACTGTGCTGCAGGCTTTAATAGTCACTCGTGATTCAAACAAATAGTGAGTTTGCTTTCATGTGTCCTCTATTCTGATTCGGCGATCAATTATTTTGTTAACAAAACTACATTTTGATTGGCCAGACATACAATTATACACATTGAAGACACGAGTGTAATCGTCAGTGTTCGGTTGATCACCATGACTATGAATGGATACCCTTTGGCCCTCAAATCGGTGGCATCTTGGCACATTAATCAAACTGGCTCCATAGCATCTACAAACAGGTTTTAACACGTTTCACCGTATACAATACAATCGTGTAAGGTTTGAAAGCAGTATACAAAATAAAAGTCTTATTCATTATACTGGGATTACCAGAGACCAGACAATGATTGTATTTTTCTAATAAGATAGTATAAGTAATTTCTTTGGAGAATTATATCTACTTTTCATATATCCATACTATAAGCACGGCACACATACCATGGTATATCACGTATAAGCAACGCCATTTCTTATGGCAAAATTAGTTTTAATAGAATTTGCTCGAAAATAATTTCGTTTTGCCATATTTCAAGGACAGAAAAACATTTAAATACTGTATTTATAGTTTGGGTATTTTCTTTTATGTTTATCGAGAAAATTATTTTACTAATTGGCGAATGCACAATGTCGCTTTTCATTGGCATTGACACGGGGATCTCGGGTGTTTTGGTTGAAGGGAGTGTTTAAGGGAGGTGTGGTCGGTTTATTTAAACTTCACGGAATTTTAAACTGGTTAATGCAACAGCCAAATCAGGCGGGTTTCTCTTGACCAGCTATTATCTGTTTTTGCAACAGAAAAATGTTTTAGTTCGCCATCTCATTAGGCGGAGCTGTTCACAATCTGTGAAAGAACAATCAACAAACAAACAAACATTCGCGGCGTCTGCTACACGTACATTTGGTGTCGATTAGATATAATATTACGCCTGCATAAACAAGCTTGTCGCTAGGACAATAACAATTTTACACCCTCAGTGAATTCTAGTGCATGGTGGCTGAACCTTTTCATCAAATGTCCAGTGCCCTTAAGGGGTTACTCAGCTTGTATTGTATGGTTGTCTTCTGGGGACAATGTCCATTGGTCCAGCTCGTAACTATCAAACTACCTATAGCTCGTCAAAGTAACACGAGTAAAACTATGTGTTATGGCAAATAGCCATTGCTCGAAACGTCAGACTAGTTTGAATAGTTATTAGGATAACGATTACCAAGTATTACTCTATAATTTTAATGGGAAAGACCGTTTGAGTTCATACGTATTGACGCCATGAAAACTTGAACGACAACGAATACAGATCTGGGAGTGATAAACCACTCTCACTCAAATATATGGAAATAATAAAGTTAGAGGCCAGGGCTCCATTCTTTAGGTTCTAAAGCTATCCAATTTTGAGCATGTGCGCTAGATATTCCGAATTTGGATTTTTTCTCTTTAAATAATCAAATAATGTTTAGAAGAAAAAAAAATCCGTGTGTCGGTCACGTGGTATTGGAGGCATGCAAAATTCTTTACACATATTATATGAGGGCCGTAGACTTGCCTCTGTCATTTTACATTTCAGCAGAGTAAATATGGCATCTAAAAATATAGGGTGGTCCAAGTAGCTTTGGTATAACGATTATATATTTAATCATAATCATATGTGAATGGCTGAATTCCAAGCTATGAATATGCATATTCTAAAATTATAATATTCTATTCGAACAGCAAGTCGCTGTCTGTTTACACATGGTTAAGTGGCAGGAAGAATTGAGGATTTCCGTTTGTTTGTTTTTCTGTAAAGATGAAAGTTTATACCATTTTAACCGCGAGCGGGCGCATGCGGTGGTTGTCGCAATACTTATCAGTATATCGGCACGCTTAAAATGTCTTAAAATGTCTTTTAAAACTGATTTAAAATCAGACAAGATAGATCCTTTTTTTTCAACTGAGATATAGAAAATAATGAAACATAAATTAGAATAAATGAATGAGTAGAAATTGGACACACTTACCTATCTCTATGGTTCCTACAGTTAGACAGCTTACGCAGTACGTATTTACTATAATTAGACATAGTCTTTACCTTGCCGTTTATTCGGTGTTATTTGCTTACTTTACTTCCTATGTCGACAGCAACTATGAGTTTAAAAATTTTTTTAAATCTTAAAACCTTAAAACAATCTTCAAAACAGTATAACCATAAAATAAAACAACAAAAAAACTAACGAATTACTTGAAAACAGTTGATTTTAGCAGGAAAGAACTGAGTTAAGGTAGAGATGCAGGTTGGGGACTATATTTTTAATTGGCTCTAATTACTGTAATTACACAAGTAAAATATAACCTTTACCCATTAAGTTATATATCATTTGAAAGAGTTTTATTTAAACTGTC